ACTAGAGGCACAAAAAAACTCTTCTGTTTCATTTTCCTTCATCCATGTAATGGCAGCAAAAGCCAAAGCAACATTGATCAGAACTAATCTGTTACGTTTCCTCATTAATCATGCCTATTTTATTGAATGAACCAGATAGTGAACTAATGTAATCTAATCAGTTAGCATATCGCTCCAATCATTGAGTAAAAAGTCAATAGATTATTTACTTCTTTTATTCTTGTACTAATATTTATGGATAGATCATTATTGTTAAAAGTAGGAAGAATAGTGTTGATCGCAGAACTACAACTCATTAAGTATTGGATGAAATTAAAAAACAGCAAGTTCGTCTTCAGAGCTAGCCCCTTAGTTGGATTGTAGCTATATATTTTATGTCAAATTTTAAGTTGTAGTCCGATTCGCCTTCTATGAGTCAATATGAGCGTCACTGTGCAAACTGTTTGAAATTTCTCACCTATCTGAAACGTATAAATAATCGTAGTATATGCCACAATGTTGACTCTCGTTATTTCGTCAGAAAACAGTCGCTTCTTTAGCCTAGAATGTTCCGTTAAAGATATGAATGAGGGTGGGAATTTACGTCTTCTTTCCATTCCCACGATACAGTAACATCCACATGCTAATTTTCCATACCTCCACATGGTTCTCTTAAAGGAATGCCTTGCAAAATATTAAATGAATGAAGTGATATATGTCATGCATGAACATGAGTTATACTTTCAGTATTGTTCAGGCGTCTAATTTAAGTATATCTGGGATTTCCAGGATTTCCATGGGATTCCGAGTCCCGGCAATCCGCCGATTCTTCCTTGCACAAAAGTCACTTAATTCATAATTATTTTCATAAAATTGGAAAAGGTCGTACTATTCACTATCACTTTATCTTTTTCACACGTCAAGACGCAATCTAAACCCCATATATACTCTATTAGTAACTTGAAAATATTTTTTTAGTTTTTTGGCGCTTCCGGCCCTTACTGAAGCCCATCAGATTTAGATTCTTGGCATTTTCCCGATCAATCCTAACACTTGACGCCTTTCTTCAGGAAACTTTCCAGTGCAGCGGCTAGTCGCTCGTCGGCGCCCCGAAGGGGCGCCACTCGCGGCTAGCCGCTGCCACGTGTAATCTTATTCGCTCAAAAGATAATCCTCTTTACCTTACACCCTATCGAATTCCAGACTGCTCTTACTTCGAAAAATCTTTAGGTCTATAATACGAGAATTCTCGATGGACAGTTCCGAACCGCTACTTTGTTATGAAATATCCCTTATTTCTTCAACCTAATTGTCTCGTTCGAAAGTCAGGGATTAATTAGAATTTCTGACGAAGAGGATGCGGGTGGGGAGTGTGGAGTGTGGGCGTAGGCGTGAGTGTCGAGTATGGTGTGGGTATGGGCAGATGTGGGTGTGGGGGTGAATGTCGATATGGATGGGCGTAGATGTTGAGACCAGTCTTTTCCCAATCCATACCTGCACCTCCACAATCCACTACCACACCCGACTCATCAATACCCATAACCACACCCATGTCCACACGCACACCACCACCACAAAAAGCCCACACCCGCACCACAGTATACCCACACCCACATCCACACATTCACACCCACAGCCATACCGACATCCATACACCCACACCCTCATTGGTCGAATCTCTGAACTCGAAAAAGCCTCATTGGCTGGCTGTTCTGCTCAAAGGAATCTGGGCGGCTGAAAGCGCGAGGTCAGAACCCTAATTGGGTGATTTTCTAGGTTGAGAGAATATAATTGGTCAAATACCGTAGGTCGGAAAACCCTGACTGGCTGGTTATCTAACTTGAACAATCTGATTGATCGAATCGCGAAAGTTGGAAAACTCTGATTGGGTGGCTCTATAGTTCGAAAGAATCTGTTTGATCGAAAGCGCGAGGTCGAAAACCCGTGATTGGCTGGTTTTCCAGCTCGAAAGAATCCAATTGGTCGAATCCATGAACTCGGAAAGCCCTGATTGGCTAGTTCTCTAGCTCTAAAGAATCTGATTGGTTGAAAGCGTGAGGCCGAAAACTTCTGATTGGCTCGTTGTTTAGCTTGGAAGAATCTAGTTGGTCGAAAGCGCGGGATCGAAAACCCTTGATTGACTGATTTTCCAGCTTGAAAGAATCTGATTGATCAAAAACACGAGGTCGAAAAATCCTGATTGGCCGGTTTTTAGCTTGAAAGAATCTGACTGGCCGAAAACGCGAGGTCGAAAACTCCTGAGTGGTCGGTTTTTTAGCTTGCAGAAATCTGATTGGTCGAAAGCGTGAGATCGAAAAGCCCTGATTGGTCGATTTTTAGCTGGCAGAAATCTGATTGGTCGAAAGCGTGAGATCGAAAAGCCCTGATTGGTCGATTTTTAGCTGGCAGAAATCTGATTGGTCGAAAGTGCAAGGTCGAAAACCCCTGATTGGCTGATTTATTAGGTTGAAAAAAGCTGATTGGTCGATAGCGCGAGATCGAAAACCTCTGGCTGGCTGATTTATCAGATTGAAAAAAGCTGATTGGTGGAAAGCACGAGGCCGAAAATTCCTGATTGACTGATTTATTAGGTTGAAAAAAGCTGATTGGCCGGAAGCGCGAGGCCGAAAACCCTTGATTGGCAGGTTTTTTAGCTTGCAGGAATCTGATTGGTCGAATGCGCAAGGTCGAAAACCCCTGATTGGTCGATTTTTAGCTTGCAGATATCTGATTGGTCGAAAGTGCAAGGTCGAAAACCCCTGATTGGCTGATTTATTAGGTTGAAAAAAGCTGATTGGCCGGAAGCGCGAGGCCGAAAACCCTTGATTGGCTGGTTTTTTAGCTTGCAGAAATCTGATTGGTCGAAGGCGCGAGGTCGAAAACCCGTGATTGGTCAATTTTTAGCTTGCAGATATCTGATTGGTCGAAAGCGCAAGGTCGAAAACCCCTGATTGGCTGATTTATTAGGTTGAAAAAAGCTGATTGGTCGAAAGCACGACGCCGAAAATCCTGATTGCCTGGTTATTTAGCTTGAAAAAATCTAATTGGTTGAAAGCCCGAGGTCGAAAACCCCTGATTGGCTGCGTTTTAGCTTGAAAGAATCTGATTGGTTGAAAGCCCGAGGTCGAAAACTCCTGATTGGCTGGTTATTTAGCTTGAAAGAATCCGATTGGTCGAAAGAGCGGGTCCGAATACCTCGGATTGGGTGATTTTTCAGGGTGAAAGTCTGATTTGGTGATCTTATGTTTTTTTGACCTTTTTGTTTTTTTGACCTGGCACAAAGCCACAAACGCATTTCAGTTTTTTTCATATGACCCTCCCTTCAGTCGAGGGAAAAATCGAGGGTTCAATATTTTTTAAAATGGTTTGCGTCAAAATTCACACAACTCTTCCCGCTACGAACATATCTTAAATTGAGCAGAATCTGACGACCTCGATTGAGCAGGTTCGGTCGTGGCTTATATGGACTGGCTCATAAATGCTGTGCTTCTCACCGCATTAAAAACCAATTAGTTTTTTTTTCGGAAATCAATCGTTATTACAATAGAAGAAATTTTTTATCTTCTTGATAACGTGGTGTGACAGTGAGTTTTATACAGTTATTAAAAAATGGATAACAGAAATAATTGATAATATTTGTACAAAAAAAAACAGAAACATTGCATTATATTCATCATAATCGAAAATAGTTTTTGTCAGATTTATTTATGGATTACAACCACACTGTGAGTCCACAACCATCATCTTCAATTGAATAATAAGGTTGTTCATTAAGAGACAATAGAAGTATACAATGCCATAACTGTTTAATAAATTTTGTATGATCGTTAAACATAGGATCTAAGTCAACATCTGGAAATTCGAATTCCCGTCGAAAGCAAAAACCGAAACCGCTGAATAAATGCGCTATCTCTGCAATTATTTGACAACTTCTATCATCCACAGTTTCTAGTAAATCATACATAAATATACATAACGAACTCCGTTGTGGCAAATGCGAAAGCGAATGTAAAACCACTGACCAATTTGGTGGCGCATAATTAGGATAAGTATAAAATAATAAAATACGAATAGAACGAATAGTTGGTGGGAACGAACGACAGTAGTTCAAACAATTGGTACTATTCGCAAGAGTTATATTGCGAAGAGCAGATAAATATATAGGAATAGATGTATTATAATAGGAAAAGTGGAATGTTTCAATACAATCGGATAATGCCACATATGGCAAAGAGCAAATTGGTGACGATAACATTTGACATGATGCATCTATCTGGAAGATATTCGTGAAAAAATTCATCAAATGCCCACGGAAGAGTATATCACATATGATGGTGATATTGATGACCATGGCTCTATAAATATAAACAATATATTAAGATATTATTAGATAGAAATTACATTATCAAGTAAAGAACAAAGATATCAGTTTCATTCATATTTTATCTTCGAATAAAAATGCGAACAAAAACTTACAAAAGGATCGCCATCAGTAATCCATTTTGATCTGTCAGAGAAACGATTAACAACGAATGTTGCATCGACTATTTCTCGTGAATGAAAACGATTACCACGTGGAATATATTGTATCACTTTGATGTATTGAGGACAATCGATAAGATTAAAAGCTAAATGAATATCAACATGACGATGATCAGTAAAAAGTGGTGACGAACTAATACGATTTAAATCATTAATATTAATAAAAATAGACACATTAGCACGTCGAAGAACAGGCATAACTTTTGAAGATGTTAAAATTTCGAAAAGTGTCCATTCAATTCTTAACTTCGAGAAAAACGTGTAATTGACGTAATGTGTCGTAGAGGGGCTCTGTCGATATAAGACGAACAAAAGTATCCATAGATGGCAGAGCAAGATGCAGATAGGTAAGAGGAAGTATTGGAGTAGTAAAGGACCAACATGTTCCGTAATAGTTCATGCCCAAATCGAGAGATCGAAGTGCATGTAAAGGAATAAGAAAAATATTATCTAGTAACATCGTCCCTGAATTAACACTAATACTAACTTTTTCGAAAGCGAGATTAAAAGTAGTAGCGCTTTGGTTTAAACAAACATCGTCAAAGTAAAGTTTCTATTTAAGACAAATCTTTATAAACTAATAATGTTAGATCATTTTAAAATCTACACATTCATAAAAAGTTTTCTGCAAACAATTTGCCGTAACTGGTAGAAGTCTTCAGACTCTTTGAAACAAGTCTCATTCGATTATACATTATTGTTGAACAAAAATTATCTTGTTTAACATTTCATCTTACGGAGATTTTCAATATTACTATGTTTGAAAATGCAAGTGTTCTCAATAGTTATTCAAATAGAAGACTTTTCTATTATACCTGGTGATGTCAGAGCTAATTTTACGATCTATAATAAAACTGTTGAAAATTGTGAACAGTTAGAGATATGTTTCTTTCGATTATATAAAATAATTTCACTATACGACTCTCCATTCTTTTATCAGTAAGATTTGATTGATTCAAAATTACTAAGATGTGTTCCAAGATGTGATGTATGTTAGTTAATTGACTAGTTTTATTCTATGTTTCATTGAGAGCTTTGATAATTTGATGCAGTTATTGCAGAACCGTCTTTTATACCAAATGAAAAAAAAATCAATTGTATCTTTTCAATGTCTCAATGAAAGATGATCGATTATGGTATTTCCGTTGCAGAATTCATAGTACTAAAATTATTTTTAATGATATACATAACTGAATAACATCTGTATGTGTTGATAGTATTGTTAATAAAGCCATAAACTAAATACTTTTTTTTATTGTGTACGTTATTGATTCTGAGAATTTCTGACAATTTGAATTTTAATGTATTTTTATAGGAATTTCTTTTCTAAAAAATGACTTTACTCTTACCTATATATAAATGATAGCCACGTAATTCTTGATAGAATTTTCTTACTATTTCGACTCAAGATATTCCGAACAAATTTAAAAGTCGAACAGTTTTTCAACATTTTTTAACGTTTGCTTAAATAATCTTGTTTCTTTATAAAGCTTTCCATGTATTAAAACAAATTGCTAATACATACCGGTATCAGTCTTCTGTTTGATTTGATGATAAGATGCGTGAGTGAGGCTTCATGAAGTGAAATAAACAATAAAAGATCATTATGATTATATGCACCAATGATACTCAGAATTTTCAAACGAGGCAAATAAGGCCAACAAGTTAATTGAAGCGGAGATGTATCACTATCAATTCTAAGTGACTGAATATCATTCAATGGAAGACAACGAAGAATTGTATTAAACTGATGACGAAGTGCAAGTGATAAATTAATATGATAAAAAAAACCTCGTTCAGTTATTAACATTGTCAAATGATGATTAAGATGAGTAAATCCCCAGAGAACATCGATAGATGATAGATATGAAAAGAATTCGATTAATACTAAATCGGGTAGATCATCGAAACGTGTAATCAACGTCATTCGTAGATATAAACGATTATTTCGGCATTTGTATAGTTATACTCTCTTTTCTATATTCATTGACGGACGAATTGTTCTCATTTCTTCATATTAACAGTCCAAGTAAACAGTGACAATATATGTTTAATATGATCGCTACCATAGAGATAGTGACGAATGAATGAATATTCCTTTTTGGGGTGTGGGGTGTGGGTGTTCTATCTTCGACAACACCCACGCCCACATCCGCACCCTTCGCTTTAGGGATATTTTCTTGCTGAACGTTCACTTTAGAGACACTGCACAAAGAGCGAACGTTTGCAGTTTTTCATTTTCTACTGCTCAGTATTCAAAGATTTTGGAAGCTAAAAATTGTTTCTTTATATCAGGAGATGCAGAATTTTATGCTCTTTCCCATGGTATAAAAATAAAAGTTGTCAGATATAAAATGATGGAGGTACGAGAAGCATAACGTATATCGATACAAAGTACGTTCGCTTTAGGTACCTTGACTCTAATTATAAGTAAACTTCAACCAGTATTATTTCATATACTCATTCAAATCTTTAACTTTCTTAATAAATGTAAAAATAGAAGAAGAGGAATTAAATCAAGGTTATAGAATCGAATAATTTGGGTTGCAAATATTCTTATAAAATTGTAATATAAGATGCGAACTTTTTATCTTCCTATCTCGTCATGTTAAAGATAAGAAGAGTATTCCATTTGTTTTCGATTAACAGATATATATATGTAAATAACAACGTGTCATGTGGCAAACATAAAACATATTTCTTACTGACCTGCTTAAAAGACAATATTATCTATGAAGGTATCTTATATTTTAGTGCTTTCTATTCTCTTATGTTTAACCATTAATCAAGTGAACACAATTCGTTGTGCTGATAAATGTGAATTTAATACTGTTCCAATTGGCTCTTCGAATCCATTTAAAATTCCATGTAACACTGTTGATATTGATATTACTACTACTGCATGCACAGTAGCTCTTACTATAAATTTTGCAACATTATTCGTTGAGGATGTTCTTCAGATAAAACCACGTTTAAGCAATAAATCTTCAACTCTTAACACTAAATTTACGTTGAATTCAGTGATCACGATCGGTTCTATTGTTTATACGTGTACTTCGACAGATGATTGTGATCAGGAGTTTTTGTACGCGAGGCAGTAGGTTCGCCGAAATGGCTTGAAATTCATGAAATAACTGTAAGATTAGAAATTAGCTATTTACTCTTTAAAACAGATTCATCCACTGCTGACTTGCTTTGCGCTGACAATCTTGTATGCCTATCCAACGACAAGTGTTATGCTCAATTCATTGAAAAACGTTCTGGTTCACAAACAAGCACAACAAATTTTAACAATAGTCATACATGTGATACTACTAGTCCATCCAACGTTCATTTTCATCGACATTTTAATACACTAACTAACGGTGAAATTATGATAATGGATATTCGTTGCAACAAGAACAATTGTAATGAACAGAAAACAGCAGAAGAAGTATATAATATAATACAGAATAAATTTACATTTCCATCAAATTATTCGTCATTCATGTCTGATACGAACGGATCTTACAAAATGAATGATATTATCAGGATTTCATCGATATTTTTTTTTATTTCCATTTTTCTCATAAATCTTTAATGGAATTTGGTATAAAATCAATACAAATTGTTTGTTCGTTTTTTGGTGAAATATTTTTGTAAGTTTCTTAATTGTATTTTTGATTGATGCAAATATATTCAATAAATCATAAACTTCAAATCTAAACTATTTGAAAAATGATCATTTTTGCCAGTTAAGAAAAGAGAAACGTTCATTTTCTTTTGAACATTTAAAAAATATCGTTGTATCTAGTTCGAAAAAATTGTTTTCTTATCATTATCGATTGATAATGAGTTAACTATTCTGATGAACATTGGTTTAAAAAGTTACTTTATTGTTTGAACACCAATTCATTTGGATCTATTTTAACTTCTTTAAGTATTTTATGTTTAAAATATGTTCCATGAGATTAGATTTTTCAAGAGTGAAAAAAATGAAAATTAAACAATTCTATTTTATTATTTGCCTTTAGTACTTAATATAACTTTAAGACTTATACATACGCAAAAAGTTTTTTTTTATCAATGTGATCAGTCATTAAGAATTTTTTATTTTGAAATGATAAATGAACTTCCATGAATTATATAGACTTTTTTTTAAAATATATAGTTTATTGTTCCACTAGGGTTAACAGAGAAAAATCGCATAATTTTATAAACCTCTTAGAAAATAATGATAAAGAGAAAAGTCAGAAGTTCATGTTTACAGAGTTTGTCACTTTTTTCTCACAATATATTTGATAGAAGTTACAATATTTTTTAGGATGTAGATGTGGATGAGATTAGATCAGCCCACACCCTAGTGTTTTTAATTTACAATACAAACACTCCATTGTGAGATAGATATGCCAACTATTAGTATCATGGAATTATGGAAATATCTAGATATTACGAAACTTAAAAATATAAAGCCTAGTATAAAACCGAACGTCATAGATCATTTTATCTTTCTATGGAGAGTAGTATTCTTTTACGAATCGATAAGTCTTTCAATTGTGTTAAGCAATGATTTCAAATAAGAGATCACATCAAATTCATCAATCTTTCCAAGTTACTCTATGGAATGTGACAGATTAAAATACAAGCTGTTACTATTAGAAACTTTAAAAATTATATGGATTTCACGTTGTATATATTCATGAAACTTTAATAATAAACTTTTTTCTTTTTCATAAGAACTAGTTAGTAAGTTGTTATGTTAAAAAATCGTTTCAATTGAAAAATTTATTTCATCTGAAGACCTACTATTGAATCTGATTACAACTAAAAACTTATATCTTGATTCTTGATCATCGAAATTCAGATTTGTATTCTTTTTATTAAACACTATATGACAATGATCTTGAATATATACTAGTTTGTTATATTTGATAAATCATTTTTTTTATTCATTTTATTGTTTTGTTAACTGCTGTTCATCATTTTGGCAAAGCTTTCAATGAAGATGACAATTCATGCAAAAGAAAATAATCTTAGAATGAGCTACTTATTATACTTCATCAGATTATTATTTAAAAACGAATAATTCGTCTGCTTTGTTTCTTTTTAATTTCTTTTAATTTTTTTATTTAAAATCTATCATTAATATATAAATGAATTAACAAAGAAACATTTATCGAAAGATAAAGTCTTAACACATACTCAGCATGTTCGTTTTG